AGAGAGAGAGAGACCCTCTTGACTGCACCCCACCAACCAAGGGCCTCTGAGAAGGCCAGAAAAGTGCTGGCAGCTGAGGAGGGGCTTCCAGCTGTAGCGTCTGTAACATGTTCAAACTTTCTCCACAAAGCTGCATTTACAGCCTGGTCTGAGGTTGGGGCATGTGAGTAAGCCTACACATTGACTGAGATTCTGAAAATAGCTGAGGACAAAAAAAAAAAAATTTTTTTTAAGCAAGTTTGGAGCAAGGAATAGGAGCCACAAAAAGATTATTCATTATTTCCTTACCTGGTGAATAGAGACATAACAGTGTCTCAAACAGTGTGGTTGTGATATTACTAATTAACAGCCTTATCCGGTGGCCCACACATAGTAAATGACAGTTTCCTCCATCCTATTAGGGCTATGAGAATTCTTTTTAGTTACCTTGAAGGATTTACGCTGTCCTCAGGATGGTAATCTTCCCCAGCCCAGCAACAATAGTAGTGAACAATATTTGGGTGATCAAGTGCTGCCAAAGCTTTTACTTCACGCTCTACCTTCTTGCTTTAAAGAAACAGGGAACATAAAAGTGTCATTATACATCCCTGTAAAAACTACAGGTTGAGTAACAGAAGACAGCTATGTATGCTCCCTTAGTCAACGGTCGCCACGGTTCCCACACTCTGAGTGTTTAAAAGGAAGCCAGGAGCACTCGAAAGGAAAGACTGAACACAGTCTGAAAAGAGAACACAGACTGAAAAAAAGTGGTGACTTCATTAATTCCAAATATCAGAAAATTTAAAAGTCATTTGTGGTGGTCTCCGAAATGCCAGTCACGCAAATTTTGGTAGCTAATTCACACATTGTATTTTGTTTAGACTTGTGTTAAAATCACTTTGGGTTTCACAAGCAAACCCTGTTTGGGCAGCAAGGGTAATCCAGGCAACTTGAAGAACATAAATCAGAATTTTCAATGCATAACAAAAATACACAAAGGAGATCATCTATGCAGAGAAAGTGAGACTACACAGCACCTGTAGGAGCTTTACAGGGATGTGGAGTCAAGAGCAAAGATAATTATATGCTACGTGGAATAAATAAATTTGAGATTTAATGGTGAGAAGGGGTAAGCAAACATTTTATAATTCCATTTTTTAATTTGAAAAGTTCTATATCTACATGGCATAAAACTTATAAGAATAAAGGAAGAAAAAGTACTCACATCAACAGTCCTAATATAATCAGTTATTTTGGATTGTTTCTTATTGTCTTTCTTCACACACATTTTTATATACTTGTAATTATAGTATATAATTTTTATCCTATTTTTCCACATAACAGGTTATCTTTACCATTTTCCTTGTTACACAACCTATATAACCATCATGTATAAACTTTCTCATGTAAGATTTCAAAAGTACAGAAAATTAGAACAAATAGTGTCATGACCGCTACCTAGCCATCATCCAGATGAAACCGTTATTAACTCCTGGCCAATCTTGTTTCATCTATGCTCTTATCCACTTCCTCATCTCCCCTGGATTATTCTGAAGCAAATTCCAGCATCATACCATTTCATGTGTAAGTATTTTCAGTATACAAGCCTCATTTTTTTAATGACTGCAAAATAGCCATTGAGCAGGGGAGAGAATAAAACATATTTAATCATTTATTCATTGCTGGACATTTGGTTTGTTCTAATTTCTCACTGTCATAAATGACACTGTGATTGACATATTCTTATATAACTTCTTCCATCATTTGGATAATATTCTTAGAATAGGTTCCCAGACAGGAAACCCATGGGTCATGGTGTATAAATATTCCAAGTATATTCTTAACTGTGTTATACCAATTTATGAAGCCACTAAAAATGTCCAAGATACTGTACCCTTATCATCATTAAGTATTACCATTAAAAAAACAATGGAATTGAACAGAAGGAGTAATACTTCATTCCTGTCAAGCAAAACAATGTGGAAAGAGGGGCACCTGGGTGGCTCAGTCAGTTAAGCGTCTGACTCTTGGTTTCACCTCAGGTCCTGGGATCCAGCCCTGTGTCAGGCTCCGTGCTCAGCATGGAGTCTGCTTGAGATTCTCTGTCCTTCTCCCTCTGCCCCTCCCCCTGTGTGCTCTTTCTCTCTCTCTCTCTCTCTAAAATAAATAAATAAATCTTAAAAAAACAAAACAAAACACATAATGGGGCACCTGGGTGGCTCAGTCGTTAAGCCTTCAGCTCAGGTCATGATCTCCCAGTCATGGGATGGAGCCCCACATCGGGCTCCTGGCTCAGCAGGGAGTCGGCTTCTTCCTCTCCCTCTGCCTCTCCCTCTCCCTCTGCCTCTCCTTCTGATTGTGCTCTCTCTGTCTCTCTCTCTCTCAAAACGAATAAAGAAAACCTTAAACACACACACACACACACAAAACAATGTGGAAAGAGAAAGCCTTGTTTTGATGCCAGGTGGTTATGGAAGGATTTCAACTGCAAGGCATCTTCCATGGGACAGGAGGTAGGTTTGTTTGGCTGAGATGAGGAGTGGCTAGGACTCCATGCCTGCTTCTCCTTTGCTCACAGTGTTTTCCTTAGCCCGTGTGCCTTCCCCATCTCCTTCCCTAGACCTTGAGGGATAGGTCTGTAAGTTACACATAGTACAACTGTCAGAAAACAACAAGCAAGACTGGTGAATTGGTGAGCATGTGATTTAATACCACCTTACCATGTGCTCTCTTTTCTGAAGGAGTTCTGCTATCCAGTAAGTGGGGGGTGGGAGTCAGTAGGTGCAGATAATATATAAAACAACATGGGGAGCGGTGGGTTATAGTGGGAACACAGTGGATTGGCATTCCAGAGAACAAGTTCTAAATCCCCACCTTGTGAACTCTACCTCTGAAACTAATAATACAATATGTTAAGTAACTGAATTTAAATAAAATAAAATTTACACATAAATAAATTTCCACCTTGTTATCATAGTAGGTAGTGTCCAGAGATGGTCATCAATTCTTTTCCTCCTCATATATGCAACCACTCCTCAGATTAAGAGGTAGAGTCTATTTGCTCTCCCCTTGAGTCTGAGCTGGCCTTAGTGATTTTGTTTAACCAATATAATGTGGAACTTCCAAGACTAGGTCAAAAGTAGCTTTTGCTGTTCCCTTTTGGGATGACTTGCTCTGGGGACAATAGCTCTTGGAACCCAGGCACTAAGTTGTGAGATGCCCAGGTGACATGAAGAAGCCAGGTGGAGGCGCTCTGATTAACAATCCCCGCTGAATTTCCAGCCCAGAGCCAGCTTGACTGCTAGCCATGGGTGACAGCCATCTCTGGCCAAGCTTTCTGATGACTTCTTTTTTTAAAAAAGATTTTATTTATTTATTTGTGAAAGAGAGGCGGTGGTGGGGGAGAGAGAGAGCACAAGTGGGGGGGGGGTCAGAAGAAGAGGGAGAAGCAGGCCCCCGGTGAGAGGGAGCCCGATACGGGGCTCAATCCCAGGACTCGGGGATCATGACCTGAGCCAAAGGCAGATGCTTAACCCCCAAGCTTTCTGATGACTTCTGACTACAAAAGCATAACAGATCCCAGATGAGGATGGCCCAATGAGCACAACCAATCACAGGACAGTGACAGATAATAATACCTTGTTCTTTTTCAGCCACTACATTTTGGAGTGGTGTATTATGCAATAACAGACAAATGGGATGGTTACCAACTAGGTTTTACCTTTGACAAATCAGTTCGCCTCTTTGGGTCTCAGTCTCCTAATCCGTAAAATAAAGAGAGGAGACCAGAAAATCTCAAAGGTCACTGTAAGCTAGATGATTCTATAACTTCAGTTGTCATCAAGACAGGATCAAAAGAATGATCAATGGTCTATCCAATTTTTTTATTGAAATAACCACAATAAAGTGAAGTCATGTCAGAGGAAGCCAAGCTCCTGATGAGAGAGTGACATTTTTAAGGAAGACTAGAAAAAAGTAAATAATCTGCTAATGAAGAAGAGAGAGACATAAAAAAAGAATCATGCACGTTCACACACCTTCTCATTCAAAGAAACAACATGTACTACTTACTCTTTATCATATTTAACACGTTTAATAACATAAGTCTTCCCATCAATTTTGTGCTTTGCTTTGAAAACCTGACCATATCCGCCTGAGCCAATCGGTGTTATTTCTGTAAAATCACAAGCAAACCTGAAAAGAGAAATGCCACTGTTATTCTGAGTTCAGTGGTCATAGCCCACCCCTGCCCCCCACCCAACACTTTCACTTCCCCTTAACATCACTGGCACAACGGACTGAATAACAAACATGGTTCTACCCTTCTATATAAGAAGAGTCCAGGGCGCCTGGGTGGCTCAGTCGGTTAAGCGACTGCCTTCGGCTCAGGTCATGATCCCAGGGTCCTGGGATCGAGTCCCGCATCGGGCTCCCTGC